TTAATTTTTCATACAATTAGATTAGATTTTAAGTAGTTAAAAGGATAGAAGTTTCTGATATATATATATTTAATGATTTGATATACTATTTAAATAGCAAATACACTAATACTTTTTTGCTTTGTTTCTAATAAGTATTATCATCTTTTTAATTATCAAGAAAACTTAGTAGCATTCTGATTTATCCCAAAACTTAGCATTTTCTATCAATTATGTATCTCGACCTTCTCCTTCTTGTCTTATATTATAGTCATCGATTATTGTTCGAAAAGTTTTTATTTATCTATTCTTTCAAAAAAACACGTTAAAGAAAATGTTTATGAATTCGATTTCCATAAATAAGTAACTACCAACGATCATCAATAAATGATGTTAAATAAAGTATAAAATTAATACTTTGATTTTCTTTTAATCATAATAATGAAGGAATAATTAGAATTGCAACATATATGTGTTAAATCCATTGAATAAAGATCAAAAACGAAATTGATCGTTTTTATTTTTAATAACAAGACCAAGTTGTGAACCAGATAGATTAACAGGAACACATTGAATATCGAAAATAGTAATAATCATAATTAAATAAAAATCAAAATATGATTTATTGTATTTTACCAGCATCATCTTTATTACTAAGTTTTTTTTGACCAAATTTTTATTAAATTCTATTTTGTTAATGAAATATGTTGTCGAATAATTTCTTTTGGATCATGACAACAAATAAAAACACTTTTATCTTGTACAACATAAGTCAAAGAAATAAGATGATTTGATTGAGTACCATGAATTTTTTTAATCGTAGTATTTATATCTTATTAAATTATTTAAAAAAAACAATAAAAATAAAAAACTAATGACTTACTAAAGTACCATTAACACTGTATAAGATAAGTTCATCTTTATCATATATAAGAATATCATCTCGTTTTGAATGACATGCCATAGCACAACAAGTTGATGAAAAACTATACAATCGTACAGATACTGTTCACGATAATGAGCGACGAACTGTTGAATAAAACGTAGGTGTATCAAGTATATTTGTTGAAGGATATCTTTTAAGATCATAAATTGAACCTATTGTATTTTTGATCTAAAATCAAATACGTAATAATCGATTAGACTGAAAAAGATCAAATCAAACTTGAATAGATGTTGGTAAATATGTTTATAAATGACTAAGAGAAAGATCAAATAATCTATTTTATCTGTATATGTTGAACATGTAAACGAATATCGTCTGCTATTGAATTTTATCGAATTATATCTCAGTTATACAAGGTTCATTTCAATTCGTCGATGGATCTAAAAAAACATGTGTTATTTAAGATCTTATCAGTTGCTTTATACTTACAACGAAGAGCAAAAACTTTTAATTGATGTGACATTGTTGTTATGGTAAGGTACAACTTTCTATTTCATTCATAAGTTATAGTACTATTAAATTTTTTTTCAATAGTACATGTAATTGAAAAATTTCGACGTAAACCATCGTCGTACAGAAACAACAACGCCAATAGATAGGAATGTGATGTCTTTTTTAACCCAGTCTGGTGTCTCTTGACCAGATGTGGCTTCATAGATGTGGACAACATGATGTGGGACACTCATCTGAAATGCAATATGATCAAAAGATAACACATTATTTTCCAGGTGGATTATTTCTATTTTGAGTATGAAATTTTTATTTGAATTTCTCAATCATTTCCACTATGATTTATCATCAATCACAAAAACATAAACAACTTTATAAATCAATAAATCATAATGAAAATTCATCAATTGCTAAATATAAGTATCCTATTACACTAGATAGTTCAAAAGTTTATGATAATTATATAGAAGAATTTTTATTTAATACAAAAATATATTTTCATACTAATATTCTTCTTTATATCAATGATTAGTCATTAGAAAGAGTGGCACACAAGTTTACCAGAGATGATACACGAATTAATTATGTTAAAATATATTAAATTTATTTATTCAAAGAAAAAAATTATTCAAAATTTTTGTAGGATTATTTTTCTTTTGCAATAATACATTGATTATTACTTTAGTAAAACGAATTTATTATCTTATTGAAAGATCAAATATTTCAAAAAAAGCAACAGAAAAATATTTATCTAGAAAGAAGTCAATATAATCATGTGTGAAATGCTCTTATCTCTCAGAAAACTGACTTCTATTACTAGAAATCACTTTAAATCAGTTTATTTCCCCTTAATTTGACCCAACATATTTATTTGTCACTATGAATGAGAAGAAAACTATCACTAAAAAGATCATTTCTAAACTGAATTCGGTGGTGAAGTAGCCTTATTCTTATCAAATAGCCTAGAATAAATTTGAACAATTAATAATTTTGTTTTCCTCACCTGATCTTTTTCACATCTTTTATCTAGACACTCATCAAACGAAACTTTTCCTTAAATCAAATCATTGATAAGGAAGCATAAAATTTTCTTAATGCTATATGACTAAGTCAAGTTCTAGTATATCTTGTTTTTTTTTTTATGCAAACACCTATTACTCTGTGCTTCAGAAACGAACAAATAAATGTCAATAATGAAAGAATGTTCTTTACCAGACTTTCTTGAAGGAAATCTAAAACTCTCTTCGTCATGTTTGTTTTTTAAATAAATAAAAGCTTTCCAGAGATTATCCACATAAAAGTTCACTAAAATAGATCTGTTAATTATAAAAGTTTTTACTTTGATAAAGAAAAATTGACTAAGAGTTGTTTTAGGTTCAACCTTAATTCAATAAAAAGATTTTTTTTAAAAACAATTGTTCACTGAGATAATAATTCATGTAATTGACAATTATTATATTTGTCAAGATAAAACTGTTAATTGACATTTTGATGAGAAAAAAATTTGTTCATTTATTATTGAAAATTTTTCTACTAAAGAATATTGATCATTGAAATTTATATTAAAATAAATAAAAATATTTGAATAATTAATATAAAATTTTACTAAAAAGATAAAAAAAAGACTACATTCATCTAATTGATCAATAAATTTATATGAATTATTTTTATTTAAATAATCAATTAGAAAATAAACTCAAATTAATTAATATTAATAAATATTAACATTTTGTAAAATCAATAATTGAGAGTCATATTTACACTAAAACAAGTATCGAATCAAAAATTTACAAATGAGGCAAATGATTCCATTATTGACTAAGAGAAAAATATTTTATAATAATAAAGATTTTATCTCAAAAAAACAAAAAAAGAAACAAACTGGAAGTAACATTGTCATCATCTGATAATAATTAAATAGCTAATTCTCATACTTGTCAAATTTTGTAAAAAGAATATTTTCTTTTTAATCAAATAAAATTTCTTTTTTTTATTTACAATTTTTGAACACTAACTTGTGAGTGTGGTATATGGATTGAGTGAAGAAAAATATTATTCTCATATTCAATAGAAATAATGTTTTGCCAGGTTGACATATAAAACAAAATAAACCTTATCTTAATGATTGAATAGAGTTTGATAATGTCTACTTCAAACAAGGTTACTATTTGTGGAAAGCAAATGTTCTATTGAACGCATTTTTCTACAATTATTTTCTCTAAATATTCTTACTTCCAGTCGGTAATTTATACATGTTTTTTTTGTTGTGAGTCGCATGTACAAGTGCAAATTTATTTTTCTTCTCTCTTTTCTCCATTCTGAATCATTTTATTTGAAGCACAATAATCACATTTTAAAAACAAACAAAAGAATTTTTTCTAAGTTGTTATTGAAGAAAATGTTGAGTAAATATCACAAAGGATTACTTCTCTCGACAGTAAAGACAAAAAAAGCAATAACTATGTTTATAAGTTATACTTTTAATGAAGAACGGTAACGATTGATTATTGTGGATGGCTCATAAGAATTTCATAAATTTCTCAAAGTTATTTTAAGAGACAATCTATTACTCGATCGAGAAATCATTTCCTCTGAAAAATTTTGGTTTACATCTTTTCGATAATATGATATAAAAGAGCATATAAAATCTATCTATATGTCCAAAATGTTAGCCTTACTTTAATGTCTATTGGCTAAATATGAAGGACATATTGAACATGACACAAGATCCTTAAAAATGTTTCCTCGCGCTCAAAATTTTCAGCAACAATGTCGATCTAAAATCTATTAAAAATACTTCTTAGTTTAATTACTCAACAGACGGTAAGTGTATGCCTTATCTCACACACCCACACTAACAGTATTACATTACTATTCGTCGACCTATGGTTATCATGATAAAATCCAATAGTACCCACATCACCATATTTTTTAAGAAATTCTGATGTTGCTTGGCCATCCTATTGAAAGAAATCAATTGAAAATTCATGTTCGATTTAGAGAACAAAATATACTTGGCATAATTTTGTGTAAGTTCAAGAGCAATTTTTCTGTCAGACTCTCGATCGGAATCAAAAAATCATATGGATTTCTCCAATTAACCAGCATGACCTATGCAAAAAAAGGAATTTTCAAAACTATTTCTCCTTTTTCTTATGATTCATTCTACTTGTTCGACCAATACGACGAATATAAAAATCACTTGTATCCGGTAAATCATAATGAACAATAAAATCAATAAGACCATTTGTAAATTGTTCTACAGTTTCCTTTCGTTGTTAGTGTGTTTGATTTTCATGGAATGTTATACTCATGAAAAGTTTTTGTAAAAGTAATGCACCTATAGAATCAGTTGATCACTGTGTTTCAACAAATATCAAACAACGTTCAGATCTTGTTTCTTTGTAAGTGGTACTTCTTCGATTGTATGTGCTACATCGACATTTGCACTCTCATAGAAAAAAAATATAATCTTCACGAAGGACATGTTTTGCTAATTGCTGCAATTGGTTAGAAAATGTTGCGAAAAATATCCATGGAACACGTTCTTCTTGTGATGATAAACCAAGACTTTCTAACTTTCGTATATCAAGTTTCAATTCTGTATCTAATATCCTTTAGAAAAACAGAAAAACGTAATCAAACATAGGTTCAACACCATCGGTGTCGTTTTTACATACCGGTTAGTTTCATCTACAACGAGAAATTTCACTTGTTTTTAGTGAAACTGAGATAAGGAATCCTGTAAAACTTTGAATACAATCCACTGAATTATAATTTTACTTGGACTTTTCCCATCATGTCTTGAAGACGAGCGGATACAGTAAACATATCATGACCATCAGCAGCAATGCGATGTAGGTGCAAATAATAATCACCCGAACATTTTACAAGAATACATATTCTCGCTGTTCGTTTATGAAGTAGCTTACATGGTACCACAGCAGTTCGATATGTGATTTTTCTTGCTTCATCTTCTGTTTGTAAAACGTGATGACGGATGTTTTCGATTAGATAATTCATCAGCATGACATTCAAGTAAAGGATGAGTAGCCGTTAAAAAAAACTTGTTGATCTATCACATCCAATTTCAGCACAAAACCAATAAATCACCTCGTTATTGAAACCTTCAAAGTGAGCAAGACGAGTATTTGATACAATTTGTGTGTCAACACTAGCTTCTTCATTTAACTCAATTGGATTGACTTTGTCTAATGAAATATAAAAAAAGTCATTGTTGAACTAAACATTAAAAATAAAATAGAGAATACTATATTACCTAATGGTAGATAACAAATTTATATTCTAGGGATATTTCCAAAGTCTTCATCCTTTCTTATTGCTTTAATAAATATATCATCTGTATTTGTCAATGAAAGTGGTGGAAGATAATGTTTAATTGGATGATCATCAGCTATAGAAAAAATGACTTCGATTATTTTTTCTATCTTAATTCTTACATATATTTACGTTAATTGAAAATATCATTAGAAACCTATATGAATGATTGAATTTTTCTTTTCAAAAACTAAATATATGCTTACTCGGTTGTTATTTTTTTTGACATC